ATCAACTTTACCATCACCGCCCTCGGTCCCCGATCAGAAGGTTTCCCGACTCTGTGAGCCCGCTCCATCTCAGTTTCTTGATGAATTTGTAGTTTATCCTTTAGTATTTCCTTCACCTTACATTCCGCTTCCGTCCAGCTTTCTCCAGCTGACTCCTTGATTCCCTCAAAGATCAGGTTTTTTCCACTTGGACTGTACTTCCAAATGCTCCATTTTATCCATTATGGCTATTAAACTCTCACAGGTTCTGTAGACATCCTCCCTTGTTTCCTTGGTTTGTATTTTCTGTTCACCCATGGCTGCTTTAATCACATCCACATCTCGCTGGGTAAACTGCAAACTCGTTTTTATCTCCTGTATTTCTCTGGTGATGTCGTCGAGTCTCTTGTTATTTGTCTCCATAAGTAGTTGCACAAAACCTTTGAAGTTGTCTTGTTGTTGGCTCAACAGTGCGGTGTACATCTGCTTCTGCTGACTCAACATCTCTGTTACTTGCGCCGCTGAAATATAATCCTCTTCTGCTTCAACATCCTCATTCGCTTCTGATTTATTAGCTCTTTTCCCTCTTGGAGGCATTTTAATAGTTGTAGAATTTGTTCAAAGTGTAGAATTTGTTCTTACAACTGTATAGCTATGCTATACAATTCAAACATAACATTTGAATTGAAGCAATGCACTGCTATAAGAAATTATCAATAATCAAAGACAATATTAATTTACAGTGAGACAACACTGGTAGTGTATTTGTGCCAGATTGTGCCTACAGAATGCAATAATGAAGTGCAGTAAAGCTGGGGTGTCACTGCACACAGACACACTCCCCCCAGTCACACTCACTGTATCCTGCAAGCCTCTCTGGGTCTTTAAGAGGCCTTTAGCAGGGTTTATTAAAAACTCTCTGGAACAAAACACTGCAGTGAGCCATTTACTGAGGGATGTTCTCCACTCCAAAGGTTAATAAGTTACTGCCACATAATTATGCATCTTGTATTAGGGAGAGTGTGTCTGTAATGGCCCACTAAAGTGCATGAGTATGTGTGGGTGATCGTTTGAGTTGGTGTTTAGTTGTTGGCCTTTGTTCATTTATCTACACACACACACACACACACACACGCACGCATGCACACACCACCACCAACAACAACAACAATGACAACCTTTACCTTCTACCTTATTTTTGAAATAATGGAAAACTGACTTTTGGAAAAGTGAGTTTTTCTTGGCCATTTAAGTAAGGATTAAATTGACATTTTAAAATTTGTTTAACTTTATTTGAACAAATAAGAATGATCACTCAGTATAATATATAGATGATTCAACCTATTTCAAGAATATTCTTGACATCCTTTTTTATTATTATCAGAAACAACATACTGTATCTCCGATTTGAGGATACAGAAATGCTTTTCCTGAACAGTTACAAATGGTGCAAGAGCCTAGCTTAGCATAAAGTGTGTCAGCATGGGGAAAAAGCTAGTTTGACACTGTCCAAATTTCAAATGTTCCCCTACCTGCATCTCTAAATTTACCTGTTGTATCTGGTTTATTTAATCTCACATAGAAAAATAAAAATGCCAACTTGTGAAGTGATTATTTTCTTAAATCATACAGAAGCTTAAGCAACTATACTCTATGTCATTTTACATGTTTGCTTGTGTACAGATTAAATGGTGATAACACTGAATCAGTAAGAACAGTTAGAGGCACCTATAGACATATTATTGAACTTTTTAGAGAGCAGTTTGCTTTTTATAGTCTTCTCATCCAATCTCAGCAAGAAAGCAAATACAGATTAATAAACTACAGTAAAACACAATTACATAACTTGTTAAAATAAAATTTTAATGCATCCCCAGCATTATCTGTCTTTCCTTCCCCCTACCGTAAGACACAGGAGTAGAGGCCCACATCCTGGAGGTCAGCAGGTCTGAACCAGATGGCATCCTCCTCCTTGCTCATGTGCACGCCATCAAAAGAGATGGGCTCCTCAAAGTCGCTGTGGCCCAAGCCAGAGCTGCGGTACCACATGAGGCTGAGACCCACACTCTGTGCCTGGCTGTAGTTGGCCCGAATATAACCATAAAACAGAGCGCACTTCAGCCGTACTGGCTCACCTTGTAGCACCCGGTATTTTAGGTAATCCACTGACCATATAAGGCTGCAAAAAAGTAAAAGCTTTACGGCTTCAGAGTGATTACAGCACAATACTATATTTACAGCAAAACAATATTAGCATCTTAAAGTTACTTTACATGAGCATACTGTATGAAAGGAATGAAGATTACACGACATAAAGTACCCACAATAATCCTATTTTATTTATTAGAAAACACTCCATGAAATAGCTTTACTAATAATGACACACTACACAGTTTACAAATGCCTAAAACACTACACAGTTTGCAATGCAATATAACAATGCATGCAAATGCAATGCATGGATATGAATGTAGTTTGTCCTGTTCAATACTATGTGTGAGCTTTTGGAGGACTGCTGTTTCACTGTGCAGTGTCACTGGTAGGCACATCTCCTCTCCTCTCCTGACACTGTTTGCACATTCAGGGCATGTGTACCACCTTGGCCTCTGCCGAGACAGTTTAGATGATCTCCTGTAATATCAAAAAGTGAAACCACGCTGACATTTGGGAATGAAGTGTAAAATATCTCCATAAATGATGTCAAGTTTCTCTCTGTGCTGAGGATGCACCGCAGTTCCAGTGCCACAAAGTACAAGGCTATAACTGGGAATATGTCTCAAGCTCTTCCAGCAGGGTGTGTTCCTTTTCTAACAGTTCAATGGATGGATATTTGTCCTTAGGCATTTTTGTCTCAATGTTTGGGTCCTGAATTAACTGGCTAGCTCAGCAGTCATCCATTTTTCCCATATTGCATGTCACTCTACCCTAACTGGACTGAGATGGCCTGGCCTACATGTCCAACTAGGTTAGTGTGTATACTACAGAGAGAGTATCTCACTGTACAGAAAAAAATCACAAGATAACAACACAGATGAAAACTGTATCTCCCAGCCTAATTAGTCAAATGTATACTTCAGTTGCTCCATATAACAAAGTGCAGATGAGGAAAAGGAGGGCACAGCAGCTGAAATTTGACAAAAATCAAAGACATGAGGAGAACCCCCTCAGGCACACTGGCCTGTTCTGGTGGCAGCGATCAGATCTCTCATTATTTTGAATCTGCCAGAGGTTAACCTATGGCCAGCTATGCATCTCTGACTAATTAACTATGATTTGTTTATCTAGCAGGTATATATTAGAGAGTATCATGTGCATGTGTAACAAGAGAGATTGTATGAGAAAGAGAGAAGGGGTGATGGTGAGATAAAGTAATAAGAACCGTGCTATATGCCAGTCTGTGAGTGATACAGAGCCTCATGGGAACAGCTATGCTTGTAATTAATACTCTTAATTACCAGAGAAGCAATTTGTGTATGTGTGTGCGTGCACGTGCGCACACATGTGTACATTCCCTATACTATGAATGGATGTCTGCCTAATTATGTCTGTTAATTACCAGCAGGCTTAGTCACAAAATGTGTGCACATTTACATATTAGTGTCAGAGAAGCAGAAAAGTGTGTGTGCCTGTGTGTGATGGTGGTGATGGTGGTGGGGCAGCGTGTCTTATTATCACTCCCAATAATGACCACAGAGCTCCTATAGATGTAAGCAGGCATGTGTACTCTCATATGTGTTCACATGCACTTTTCACAACTTTAAACTGAAAACTATTAAAAATTTATGTCCTATACTTGATTTATCAGTAGAATGAGGAAAAAACACATGCCGCTTTCACAAAAAAACAAACAACGCACATATATTTTGTGCACCTATACTCTACACACATACACATGTACACACATTTAATCAATAAATAAGAGACCATAAGAGAAACACTATACCAGCAGCAACTATTCCTTCTCTAACATTAGGGTGCATTTCCACTGAATACAGCAGGTAACTCCTCTGCCCTCTTTGCATATCAATCTGCTTATCAGCAGGGACATTGGAGGCTTCATTCAGCTGTTTCTTTATTCACCCTCTACACCTCTAATGGATATAACCTCTGCCTCTATCTCACACCCTCCAATTCTCCACCCTCTCACTTTATTCTAACGAGCTTGTACCAATGAAAGAGAACATTTTATTCTCTGGCAGCCTGTCATTTGCTTTCACCATGCAGACCAGCTGCCTGAGAAAGAAACTCCACATGCATAAGGGTATGCACATGTAAACACACACAAAACAAGGAGACCTTTTATTCCTAACAGACCTCCCAACGGGAGTTGTCTAATGCAGTGGCCTTTTGTGGGGGAGACCATATTTATGTCTGAAAACCAAAACGGTTTTATCAACTCAATTAGGGGTTGACATTTCCCACATCGCCATGCTGGGCTGGAAAATCAATGCTTCCCGCTGGAAGAATACAGCAGTCCCCACCTCTCACATTATCTGCTGACAACACACACACACACACACATACAGGTTCTTTCCCTTTTCCTCTGTGCACCTCTAGGACATCACACCTCTGAAGTGATTATGTTCTGCCAATCTTACACAAGCCCATTTGGTAAAGGATGTTTCCTTATGGACACATTCTCACATGGCTGTCAGACTGAAGGAAACCAGCCTCTGCCCCACTGAATCGTACTGCAGCATTGTAAGCTGCAGCATTCCTTTACTGGCTACTGCTTCAGCCCTAACACAGCTACATCAAATTATATGTAGGGCATAGGTATGGCTGGTGCAAGGGGAGAATGTCAAGCTATAGGGTATGTGTGTGTCACAGGAACCTTATTACATTCTGTGTCGAGGCAGACCTGTCCATCTTTGTGTGACACTAAACCAGTGCAATAAATACAGACCCCGGAGCTAGAATAAATTTACCCACATTCATGAATAAACTCTCATGGAATAACAAACAAACAAACATATGCACACTTGCAACACCCCAATCTCCCAAGCATACACAAAATCACAGAGTGGTCTGCTGCTTTTCTCTCCCCCATAATCAAACTCCCATTATCCTTTAACAATAGTATATCGCTCAAGTGTGCATCACTTTCCTACTTCTCTAAATCTCTCATGCTGCTCTCAGTAGTCAGCCTATCCTCTCTCATCACTACCTGCTCTCCTAATGAAGTGTAATTATCAGATGTTGGGTGGGTGGCAGGGTTCTCGTGGGTCATGAAGACATTCAGTGATCTATATGTGGATGAGGACTCTTTATAACTTAGTCTCTCTCATTCTGTTTCTCTCCTCCTTAATTCACACCTACTCCACATACATAACTCCATCTCTATCTCCCTATCCAGCCAACTAGATCTCTCTAGCTTGATGTTGATGCATTTACTCCTCCATTGCCTGTTTCATATTTTCTAACTGATTATTGATTACAACAATATTGTTTAATGTTCTTATTTGAAACTTCTTGTGTAACCAGTAGCCCAAAGGCAAAGAAATGACCAACATTATTTACTATGGAATTTCAGCTAAGTATTCTTTGTAAAGGCTAATTACACACTACAGATCTCCATTTCTTTTCTTTTTTGTTTCCACAGATGTGAGTGCTGTTGCGAAGTTTCACAGGTCATTCAGTTATTCATCCATTCTCTGCCTGCTTTTGCTATATTCACTAACTCCCTTGTAATTTCAAACTCTGCCACCGCCACCTGCCTTGCAGTAATACCAGTCCTCACCGCCTTTCCAGTCACCTGATTTCCAAGCACCTTCCTGCTCACTTGTTCCCCATTCCCTCATTAGCTCTCTATTATATACACTGGTCCATTATGCATGTGGGTTGAAAAATAAAGTCAGAAGCTACATAAGCTGAAAGATGAGCTTTGTAAGCCTTTAGGAATATAAATTACACATATTTACTGTATAATTTACTGAACACATCTTGTATATCGTATGGGTGTGTCTGGTTCTCTGTCTCTCAGTGTCAGCCCTGTGATAGACTGGCAACCTGTCCTACCCCGCCTTTCGCCCAGTGTCAGCTGGGATTGGCATTAAACGCTCTTGCTCCTTTCTTTTCTTTCTCCTAGTTTTTAAATACTCTAAGTAACTTGATATCTGTCTTTTTAATCTCTCCCTCTGGGTTGTGCCACTCTATATTTCTGTTCTGGCATCATTCTCTTTTACTGACAGTTCAACATTGTTCATTTATATGCAAATGTACAGACTATTTCTCTCCAAAGATGATGGTGAACTACCTTTGCTGACTATCCAAAACAGAACAAGATTAGGAACAGCAGTCTGCTTCGTGTTAATTTACCTTCCACCTGTTCTTTCTCTTTCTGTTATGAATAAATGACAAATATAATAAAAAGAATGTAAATGTATTTTTCAATAAATAATATCCTAAATCTCATATTGGAAATTGTCAACATGATATAATAGTTTCATATTTTATTCCTCTTTTTTATTTCATTTGTATTCTTTTACAAAACCTTTTTCTTCAGTATCATTTATGTGATTTTAATTTATTATCATTTGGGTCTATATACATGTTGCTACTTCTTTAATCTTGTCAAAAATAATAAGGTTAAGGTATTTTAAAAGCATCTGAATTTCAGCAATATGAGCAATTTGGTGAGAAGTATAAATATCAATACCCAGTTACACAGTGGTTCTTGAGACATCTCACCAAAATGTCGAATGAAATGATGAAACCATTGTCCATCTTTAGGGCCTACTGCAGAAATCTGCCCAAATGGCCCACTTTGAATATACACCAGCCGCATGGGGCATTAAGAAAGCTGGATATGGTGCTGCCACATTTTCCTACTGGCCACTTGTTTAGATTTAAAGTTATCTAGGATCAGAAACCTAATGCTTAACAAGGATTTTGAAAATCTTGTGCATGCATTTATTACTGGCAGGCTGGATTACTGTAATGGACTGTTTACAGCAATTAGGCATCTCCAGCTTATCCAGAATGCTGCTGCCAGGGTTATAACAAGGACAACAAAACAGAGCATGTAAATCCAGCTCTTGACTCACTACAGCGGTTACCAGTTTCCCAGAGAATCAATTTTAAAGTAGTATTGCATGCCCATAAATCATTAAATTATTTGGGTCCTAGATACAGTACATCTCAGATCTCCTAAACTGTGGGTCAGCTAGTTTGGGATTACTGGGTTGTCGAAGAGTTAAAACTAAACATGGCAAAGCTGCCTTTATTGTTTATGCTGCTCAGATGTGGAATAAACTACCAGAAGAGCTTAGACTCAAGTCAGTACTGATTATTTTCAAATCCAAACTAAAGACCTATTTATTTAACATTGCTTTCAGCTAAATGCTGTTTAATTAATGTGTTCTGATTAACAATTTAATTCTATTGTACTGCATTTTATCGTCCTCGTGCATGTCAAAGGTTTTATTGTAATACTTTTTAACTTGTATATTAATATATTGATACGTGTACTGTAGCTTAGGTGTTTGTACTGTTTTCCTTTTTTCTAGTTTTTTTGTCTGGCTGCTTACTTTGTGAAGTGCTTTGTGTTGCCTTTCGGTATGAAACATCCTATGCAAATAAATTTACCTTTGCCTAAACTTGCCTCTTCCTCTACCAGTGGGGGTGGGGTGTCCAGAGAAAGAGACCTAAGGCAAAAATATTGAGTGTGATAAAAGGAACAGGTGCAGGTGTTTTAAAAAAACAATAGTTGGCATGATTTGACTATACAACAAATGCCCACTTTACTCTGAATATGTTGTGGTAACATTCCATTGCCTGTTTTGTAAGTGTCCTATTACCTCCACCGTACAGAAATGTGTTAGTTCCACTCTGGCTGATTTACC